AATTTCGCTAAGTATAACAATGGAGTTTCACCGCCCTAGTGATATGAAAAACACTAGTGAAAAATATATTTCACGACTACTGCATATCACCGCGAATAAAATCGCGTTTTTCACCACCTTCACGTAAAACGGGGTAGTCGTGAAACTCCATTGTAAATGTGAGAAATGAAATAATATACATACTAACAATAAATACGCTTCTAATCTATACACTAGTTATATATAATAACGATGATGATATGATTGTTGCGTGAGCTCAGCTGAAAAAAGTGAGCATATGTTCCTCCTAATTTTGTGAGAATATATGTTAGGAAGCTCGCGAGCTCAGTTGAGGAAAGTAAACATATATTTTCACTCTGTAACTCCTTATCGTCCTAAGCGTCACTCATAACATTATGTCTAGGGGGGCCGAGCTAATATCAATAAGCTTCACTATACGTTGGTGGGTAGCCTCGTACAGCTACTAATCCCAACCGCCGCCCCCTTTATCAGGAAAGTGTTGTCATGGAAAAACTGGGAGAATTTAAGTTGCGCTATGCCATTAGGAAAATGCAAGATATCAAGATTTCAAGTGGTAGAGCGAGATTCAATCTCGCAACCTTGGTTGTACTGCCTACAAGTGGATTGGTTCAGATGGTGAGCTATCAACGATCGGTAACGTCGCAGCATCTGTGAGATTGCCCCAAGGGATGTTAGGAAGATCAAAGTGGAGGAAGTCACAAACACCCTACTAGGAATCATTTTAGATGAGATGAATTCTTGTCAAGGAGCCACCTCTTCTAAAATGACTTTTTAAGAAGTTCTTGAGATGTTGCCACCTGAGGGGAAGAGATTGTAGCGTATTTTGATCTACTCACTACTGTATCGAGATCGAATAACTCAATCAAAAATGGTAATATTCTCGCTTTGTGCAATGCATATGAGCCTCATATCAACAGGAAACGCACTAACTCCTAAAAAAACTCATGTTAATGTGACGGTTGTGATCGGTTTTGACTGACTCGCCAGAGCTCGGGTCTCGGGGTGTTATCCGGTTAATGGCTGTGATGCAAGCGCAATCCAAACTGCGGGCTCCTCCCAAGAGAAGAAGAAACTGCAGGTGCAAGTGGAGAAAGGGAAACCCAAAATCCCACCCGATACCCGACGGGAGACCTGTAACAAAAGCCCGCTTTGGCATCTTCTCGATGTGCTCCGGAGGCGACCTTCCGGTGACGTAGTCGTGCTCCTCGGCTGGTTTCTTTTGGAACGTTGAGAGTTTCACGGTCCTCTCCAGGGAGTTCACAAGAACCGCCTTTCTTGCGTTGCGACCTCCACAAACATGCTCAGCCACCTTCTCAATTATCTCCACAACTAGCATGTTGGCCGGTCCATTAGATCGCCAAAGATAGTCAACTGTGCTTTGCACTCGATGGAGCAGTGTGATGGCACCGACTTCACAATGCTCGTCAAGATAGATCTCACTATCGAGTTCCGATGATCGACCGCTCGAAGTCCCTGTCCCGCCCTGCTCCTGAAAGTACCGTCCGACTCTTGATCACAGTCTATGAGCTCCGGTAGCTCCTCTCGTCGGGTCGACTCAATTGATAGATTACAGTCGAGCCGGCTTACATTCTGTATGGCCTATAGCATAAACCAGATTCCGTCGACATCTAACCGCAGCCTATATACGCGGTGAAAGAGGAGTTCTCATCGCTTGGAGCACTATCATTATCACTGCTATGCACGCTTCTTGAGAGGTCATCACATATAATAATCGCACTGACCTGTATCAGGCGGATTTCATGAAATCTCCTGGGCGCGACGGCACAACATATCGGAGCGTTCTCAGAGTCCCTGTTTTCAGGGATGAGGAAGGTCCATCATATGTGTTGCCAATCGGAAGTTTTCGTGAAGACCGAGGCGTTCCTGTCCATGAAGGGTATATGAACATCGAAGTGTTGCAGGGAGCCCATGAATGCCCCAAAATCATAGAGGTGAAAGAAACCACTGCTATTAGTAGTACTAGCACAACTAATCAAACCCCCACTACCGCTCAGAGAATCTCCTAAAGCGGGTCCAGTGACTGGAATCCAGCCGCTTGTATCATTATTGCGATCGGATACAAGACAAAGTAGTTGTAGATAAGCCATCCATATGTCATTCCGGTTCCCAAATGCCTCCAGCCAGCAGAGAAACCAGACGAAACAGCAGCGATATGAACCGAGGACTATGAGTTACAAAATTTTGGAGAAATTTTTTCATAAATCTATGGTGGAACTCAATTCAGCACCTTGTAACAATAACTCAATACCAATGGTGGATACCCAATTGTACTGTTGTCTGAAATGTTGTCTACAGTGTAGAGAAAGTACTGCGTTCTCTCATGCCTCGATTACTTTAACACGAAACAGAACCTTTGCATATGCGTGCAACTGGAAGATACAATACTTAGTATACCGTTAATACATCTCAACAACAACATCATCATGCTCAATAACTAATACGAAATGAAGCGCGTATACATTCTGTATTCGCGTGCAGTGCACGCATGAACAAAAGTTTATATAGTCACATAATTATCAAATTGATGAGTTCGAGACCACTACTAAGCGGATCCTGCCGATTGGAAAGGAAGTACATTGGGAAAGCTTGTCTCGTCTTGTGGACAAAATTCATTGGAGTTTCACCCGTGAAGTGAAAAACACATTTCACATTTCACTTCGCGAAAAACGCATGTGAGCAGTGAATTTCACGTAAAACATGTGAGTGTTTTTCAGGTGATATGCAAAACGCGAAATTACAGTATTTCGCGTTTTGCGCGAAATATGCATATTTGGAGTCATTATGCATACAGTCTCAAACCTTGCACTGGCTATAAATCAACACTTCAAATATCCTAGGGAAACCTGTCTCTAATTTGCCACCCCTATCCCAGTTAGTTGATGGTACAGAAAATCAAAATTCATCAAGACCGCTACCATCATCACTCCCATCACTCTCATCATCACTCCGTGCGCCATCGGAAGACTCGACTTGGCTGCCGCCGTCACCATCTCCATGAACACTTGTTCCCCTCCGGCTATCTTCAGAGGTCCGGACCAATAGAGCCTCTATGCGCATTGCGCTGCCAGCCAGCAGCGTCGAAGCGTCAGCCGTTCTGGTTTGGGCGGCCAGTAACTCTCTGCCAAGCTTTCTGGAGTCCTGAGCAAGGCAAACCAGACGCTCATCCAGTCGCTTAAACCAATACGACTGGGATGATGAAACAGCGCTCAAGAGTGATGAGGTAGCAGCCGAAGATGAGGAGGAAGGCGGTGAAAGTGTTGGGAGAGGAGGCAAGACCGTGGACGTCGTCGACTGATGGGGCAATCGCCCGAGATCTTCATCGAGGTCGTAGCCAAACAAGTGGATAAGACGGTCCACCAAGGCACCCTTCTCATAGTTGAACCTCTCGGCCACCTTCCTCACGTCTTGGCACATCGCCCTCATCATGCTGCTTTTCTGCCTCTTTCTCTCATTGACATCAGCAGCTGGAGCCTTATGACCTAGGTGAAGTATCGCATCATACTTGGTGGCAAACTCCGACCAACTAACAACACACGCATACTATGAAATGGGGTTCCATAATGCTTACTGCGTCTTGTAACTCTCCGCCTTCCATGCCGCTAGGGCAGCGACATGGCGACGTTGTATGTCTTGGTTCACATGAGTCAACTGTAGATCTTCTCCCAAGGAGGGTAGGTTGGCAGTGAGGAGATTGGTTATCGGCATGGTAACTTATGAAAAGCTCCTACGGGGGATCATGGAGCTCTATCCTTGTTGATAATCCCGAACCAATCATGGAAAATGAACGAGTATTTGGATATCCCTGCATCGACAAGGATATCCAATAGGTATACCCGCATCGACAAAGATATCCAATAGGTATCCCCGCACTGACGGGTGAAAAAAATCCGGGGACGTGGGGCAGATTGACACATGAAAGTATCGTATTAGGATGATTAGTTAAGTAGGTTATGCTACCAAGCTATTCTTCGAGAGGTCCCCGTTTCGTACCCCGTTCAGCTCTCGCCCACAATCCCTCACAGAGGGGTCCGTAAGGCTGGTTGCTACATATGGCGGTTGACGGGATGATGATGATCATGATGATCATCCCACGAGGCCCCAACGTGCAAGTGCCAGTAGTAAGACGGATCCCGCGAGTGAGGTGACTCCATAGAGTGAAGTGTGGGTGGACAGCTGGCAGTGGCATGAAGAGGACTTATAATGGATTTTACTGCGAGATGGGATGTATTTCGCGTTTTTTCCCGTGTAAAACGCCGACTACTCGGAGTTTTTCGCGTTTATCGCGAAATGCTGGAAGCGTTTTACGTGAAATGTGATGATTTGTCTGGTGTAATTCGCGAAGTGTTTTCAATTCACTTCACATCGCGAATATCACGTTTTTCACGTGGAGTATTACGCCACTTCGGGTAAAACGGCTGAAACTCCATTGGCATGATGAAATTAGACGCAATTCAAACGGCTAAAACTGATCACTCGAGAGTTGATGTGCAGCGATGCGAGTCTAACCAAGCCGTGTTGGACTATAAACTCACACATACACCACTAGTATGAACTCAACGATCACATATTCAACAACATCATAACAACAACGACAACCATAGTAATAATAATACTAATCATGAACAACATCATTTCTCAGTTAAAGCACGATAACCCTTCCAACTCCTCGGCGGAGTACACCCATAAGACTGTATAAACTTCAGCAGAACCATGCTCGGCCCATCCTCATAACCAAGAGCCTCTTTAGTCTCATTTAAAATATTAGCCGCTTTTTCCCACTCCCCGGCTTCGTAATTTTTATACGCTTTAGCAAATTTCGTCAAAAATTCTTCCGTGAAAATTTTTCGGACCAAAATCAGGTCTTCGTCTTCTTCCCATAAATTCGCAACAACAAAATTTTCATCCCATTTTTTCGCTTTCCTTGTTTCTCGTATTTGTCGCAGTTTCGACTTTTTTATCAGTCTGTTATTAATCCCAAAAAATGACGGCGTTGCAAATGCGCCCGAAATACTCCCAGTCCTTTTTCGAGTGGCACTTCTTGTTTTCTTTCTTTTCATAATATCCATAATTCTCACATTATAATCTACTAAACTGCCATTACTACTAACAAACGAACCAAATCTTCCCAAAGTGAAGTCGCCGAAATTGCTCCTTGCAAGGCTGCTAGATCGCGAGATAGCATTTCTCAAGTTCGTATCCATTTTTTCAAGATCAGCCACCTCCAATGAATTAACATCAACATCAACCGCGTACAGCCTCACCGGAACTTTCGAACCCTTTACCATAACATTATCAATAACTCTGCCATATTTCCTCATATTTTCCGAACACATATTTCTAATCAGAGCCTCTGAACATAAAATATTCGTCCCGTACTGTTTCGTCGCTGCTGCCAATCTGCTAGCCATATTCACATTAGGTGATAAATAACTCGCGTCAATTTTAAACTTTGAACCAATCGCGCCTTCGATCGCCCATCCAACATGCAAGCCAAAACCCATACTAACCTTATACGCATCTCCCAGCCTTCCGAATAGTCCCGGATGATTCCGATATTCTCCCAATACTGGTGATTTATTTATCGCTACCAAAATTTTCACGAAAGCCATCACCGACATATCGGCTAATTTTTGCCGTTTTTTCGCAATTTCCGCATCCATTTCTTCCACTTCAGAGCTCGGTAGCCGCCAAACCATGAGAAATGCTTCTCCTAAATTTCTATTCGCAACTCCGTGAAAATCATCAACTATACCATGTACGATCTCCCCAATCTGAGTCGAATTGCAGCGATGCTTTTCGTCAAGATTTTTTATGCAACCATCACATTATCTTTTAAATGTACTGCCCAAATTTAAGAAAATAACTCAAAAAAATCCTTAATTTGGCGAAATTGCGAAAAGTTCAAAAAACTTGGAAAAAAAATCCCCAAAAAATTCAAAAAATCCACTGCTTTTGATTTAGTTTTAATCCAGTTTTCTTCCCCAATACGAAAAAAACACAAAAAAAATTCCGCAAAAATTCTCACCAAAAATCATACCCAAATTTTCTTACTACCTGATTCACAAATATCATTATATCATCTTGCAGCACCTCAGTGGCGATATTAAATTGCCGTATGTCGCAAAAACCCAGAATTGCTTCTACACGCGATCCTGCCACCATAGGGTTAACAGCTGCTGAACCACCTGAATGATGAAAAAAATCGAAAATTCACGAAATTTTACTCAGTGAAATTTCACCCGTTTTACGTGAAGTGGTGAAAAAAGCGATTTTATTCGCGGTGATATGCAGTAGTCGTGTTTTCATATCACTAGGATGGTGAAACTCCGATAATTTTACTGTAATTTTCCATGCAGCGAATTCCGGTCGAAACTGTTCAACGCTTCGAACGTGTTGCAATCACAGGAAAAAACAAATATTTTTCTTCAATTTTTACATAATATTTTCACCCTAGTGATACGAAAAAAAATAGTGAAAAACATATTTCATATTTCACATATTTCGCGAAAAACGCGTGTGAGCAGTGAATAACGCGTAAAACACGTGATGTGTTATCCACATATCACGTATATTACGCGTAAAAATTGTATACCGAATACACTTCATTATTGTTAATAACCTCAGTATTAACCGTAGTATTTTGGTTAACTTATCTTCCTTACATTTAGAAACATATCGCTTCTCGTGGCCTCAGAAAATTGAAATTTCACGTAAAAATCTACTCCTACTCCATCACGTATTACCTCGAATGTTATGGCTAATCACTTCAGCACCCGCCTCCCCAAAGCCCACTGCTAGAAGTCCGCCGATTTTGATAATCGTTTTTTCCAATATAACAGTTTCAAGTGGCTCCACTCTGAAAAATTAACACTAATTTTTCATGTAGGAATATTGGAGTTTCACCACCCTAGAGAAAAACATATTTCACGACTACTGCATATCACCGCGAATAAAATCGCGTTTTACGCCACTTCACGTAAAACGGCTAGTCGTGAAACTCCATTATCTCAATTTTGAATCATTAATATTCACGCACGATTTTGCGTAAAAATACACAAAAATTTCTTTGGGAATTTCTTCACTATTCTCACGCGTATTTACTTTTCTCATTTCTATTCTTCTCCGAAACCCACTGTATTTATCAGTATAGGAAAATATGCACATGTTGGCGACAGTTGTGAAAATGATCATAAAAATTTACGGA